TTATGTTTGTAGGCTAGTCTGATCTTTTCAGTTCTGGTGCAGGTTGAAAAGTCTAATAAAGTAGTTTTATTCGCACCAGAACTGAAAAGATCAGACTAGCCTACAAACATAAAATAAATTTGAACTGATCGGACAAAAAAGATAAATATATTTTATATTTAAATAGGTTTAGTTTGTGAATTTCAGCAATAAAACCCACAAACGGTTTCCTTATTAGTTTAAATTTCATCCAGCAACATGCGATCAGCTGTTTTTCGTACTGGCAAATTCTTACAAGTAAAAAATTTATCCAGTAAAATCCAGTAAAAACTTGCAACTTCAACGGTCATTTTTCGCTCTCTCAATTTCCCATACTTTGCAAGTTTTAGCGTACAAAATCGCCAAAACATGAAAATTCGTACAAATTTTTTACTGGATTTTACTGGAAATGAGTAAACAAACGCAATTAATAAAGGGCCGCAACTGGGACCATACATACATTTTTTATTTCATAATTTTGAACTCTGAGAGGACACATTAATTAACAGATTTAACGTACATTAGTTAAGTGCCCGTTAGAGCTAATTTAAGGAACGTTTCTGAGTGCGGGTGTTAGACCCTTATGATTCTAACCCCTTCAAATGATTTCGTAAATTGGCTAATGGGGCTTTCGCACGAGGCGATTTTTCAGGCAACTTATGCGTTCAGCTCACGCAGGGTTGCATGAAAAAAAATTGAATGGCATAAAAGGGCGTTTGCATTGTTCATTTTTGCATTCTACTTTTGGTTGAACGGCCTTTCAACTAATCGCTTTCAACAAAGTTGGTCGCCAGCCATCATTAAAGGCCGGTCCACATAGAACTTTTGCGTTGGCTTTGGCGTTGGCGTTGGTTTGACATAACGCACGTTAAATGTATGCTTGCTACAATGTACGCTTGGCAGCGAATGCTTGGGTCACTAAATTAACATACTAACGACAGATAAATTAATATTTTATGTTAATAATTGCATTAAAAACGATATTTCTTGCCCGCACATGATTAAAAAGTTAAAATATTTGTTGTTGTTGTTGTTGTAGCGGCACTACTAAGCCCCGCCTGTTTCGGGTCAACTTTTCAATCATTATCGTCGAGCTCAACTAACGGTAGGCCCAGGAAACGAGCTGTTTCGATGGGGTCGGACCAAAGGGAGAGGGGTGTTAGTTGAGTCGGATTGAGCTGGCATGTGAAGAGGTGGTTGGTGTCGTGGGGGGAGTCTCCACATGCCGGGCACTCATTTGGGATGTTTGGGTCGAGTCTGGACAGGTAGCTGTTTAGGCGGCTACAATATCCAGACCGTAACTGAGCCAGAGTAACGCGGGTCTCTCTAGGTAATTGAAGCTCCTTGTCTCTTCCACAGGTGGTGATTGGGCTCCGATAACGACATTCCTAGGCCTGGAGTCGAGGTAGGTGGAGACTGACTCCATATGAATGTCGTTAATCGCTTGTCTGTACGTCATTGGGTCCAGTGGTTGGTCTGGACTGTGTCCTTGTACACGAATAGGTGCCCCCTGACGTGCCTGGGCGGAGGCTCCTCCTCCAGCAGTGGTCTGTTAGGGTGTTCACTTCTGTGACACCCCACCAGAAACTGCTTACTGAGCATTTTATTGTGTTCCCGTACGGGGAGCACTTGGGCCTCGCTGTGTAGGTGGTGCTCAGGCGTCATCAGAAGGCACCCAGTCGCTGTCCGGAGTGCGGCGTTCTGACAACTCTGTAGCTTCGTCCACTGCGTCCAACTAGTCCCCGGTGACCAAACAGGCGCTGCATAATTTAGAACCGGCCGGCCAATTGCCTTGTATGTTGCCAGCAACGTTTCTTTGTCTTTGCCCCAAGTGCTGCCGGCGAGCGACTTGAGGACCTTGTTGCGGCTCTGTACTTTGTTGACAACTGCGGTTGTGTGCGCGGAGAAGGAAAGCAGGCTATAAAAGGTAACCCCTAAAATTTTTGGGTTGTTCACCGTCGGTATAGGTGTGCCGTCGACGTGAATGCCTAATTCTAGCTTGACCTCCTTCGTCCAGGTGGTGAAGAGAGTCGCCGTTGATTTCGTTGGGGAGAGGGTTAGGCTCCTTGCAGTGAAGAAGCGAGAAAGGCTGGAGAGATAACCGTTTACTTTTGAGCAGAGGTCATCAATTCCATTCCCGGACGCCAAAATCGAACAATCATCAGCGTACGAGATCAGGGAAACTCCTTCAGGAGGCTGGGGGAGTTTCGAGATGTAGAAGTTAAAAAGTAAGGGGGAGAGAACACCACCTTGTGGAACGCCTTGTTTTATTCTTCTTGGTTTCGAGGTTTGATCTCTGAAGATTACTGATGATTGTCGACCACTCATATAATTCGCCGACCATCGCTTCAGTCCCTGTGGGAGAGAGGAGGCCTCAATGTCTTCTAGCGGCGTGGAATGGCAGACGGTGTCAAACGCCTTTGACAAGTCCAACGCTACTAGGACAGTTCTCTCACAGGGGCGGTTGCGATTTAGGCCACGAGTTATCTGGGTGTTTATGGCGTTAAGTGCTGTTGTTGTGCTGTGCACTTTACGGAAGCCATGCTGATGTTTCGCTGGGGTTAGGTGGCACAATTTTATTAATGGCAACAGCTGACGAGCAACGCACGCGAAAAGATGAGCGTTGTCCATGTTGTTGTTGTTGTTGTAGCGGCTACAACAACCCCGCCCAGATGGGTTGGTATCTCACAGTCATTGTCGTCGAGTTCCACTAACGGCAGCCCCAAGAAGCGTGCAGCCTCTATGGGGTCGGTCCACAGGGACAACGCCGTTACGGTTGTAGGGTTTTCCGGGCATGCGAAGAGATGTTTCGAGTCGTGAGGGGTCTCTCCGCATGCCGGACATTCATTCGACACATGCGCATTTAGCCTACTCAGGTAAGAGTTCAGCCTGCTGCAGTAGCCAGGGTTATTGTTGTTCTTGTCTCCCGAGGCAGATGGAGCTCCGCCGCGTCAATGTCCGGTGTTTGTGTGCCTAGAACGGCATTCACAGGTCTAGAGTCTACATAACTCGAGACTGAGTCCCTGTGAATGCCGTTCAGGGCCTGTCGGTATGCTTCGTCCGTCAGTTAATATAGATGCCTCCTGACGTACCTTGGCGAGGGCTCCTCTGCAAGCAGCTGTCTATTTGAGTGGCCACATCTGTGGCTCCCAACCAGAAACTGCTTGCAGTGCATCGTGTTGTGCTCCCTAATTGGGAACATTTTCGTCTCATCATGAAGGTGGTGTTCTGGTGACATCAGGAGGCATCCGGTCGCTGTCCTGAGTGCTGTGTTTTGTGCTGTCTGTAGCTTCATCCACTGCGTCCTACTAGTTCCCGGCGAACACACTGGTGCTGCGTAGTTAAAAACAGTACTTTTGTTGACAATAGCGGTTGCGTGCGCAGAGGAGAGCAGGCAGTCGAATGTTACTCCGAGTATTTTGGGGTTATTCACCGTCGGAATTGGTGTATCGTCGACGTGAATTCCCAGCGGTAGCCTGACCTCCTTCGTCCAGGTGATGAACAAGGTCGCAGAGGATTTCGTAGGGGAGAGGGCTAGACACTTTGCAGTGAAGAAGCGAGAAAGATCGGAGAGATACCCGTTTACTTTCGAACACAGGACATCAATTCCATTCCCAGTCGCCATGATCGATCAATCGTCGGCGTAGGGGACAATCGAGACTCCCTCTGGTGGTTGAGGGAGCTTTGAAATATAAGAGTTAAACAGTAGCGGTCATAGGACACCACCCTGTGGAACCCCCTGTTTGATTTTCCTATGTTTGCTCGATTTGTTTCTAAACATTACCGACGAGTGTCGACCACTCAGATAATTTGCAGACCACCGTTTGAGCCTCTGTGGGAGAGAGGAAGCCTCTATATCTGCTAGTAGCGTGGAATGGCTGACAGTGTCAAAAGCCTTTGACAGGTCCAACGCTACTAGAATCGTTCTCTCACAGCGACGGTTACGGTTAAGGTCACGAGTTATCTGAGTGTTTATGGCGTTAAGTGCTGTTGTTGTACTGTGCACTTTACGGAAACCATGCTGATGCTTCGCTGGGGTCAGGTGGTTGGCCATCTTTTTGCTTTGTGTTGGCGTGAGCGTTGCCGAATTTTGGCTATGTGCAAGGCTGCATTTGTATTCATGTATTCATAGTCATCTGTTGAAGCGACGCCAACGCCAACGCAACGCCAAAGTTTTATGTGGACGGGCCTTCAGCCATTCAACTTTTTTTCGTGCAACCCTGCGTTGTGAGTTGAAAGCAAAAGTTTAGCGCAAAATCGCCTCGTGCGAACACCTTTTAACGCATAACCATAGTCCAAAATGCACAAATGTAGATCTGCGCAGCTTTAATTAGCATTTTGTTTGTCGAAAATATGGGTCCACCATGGTCGTGAGTTCAAGATTATGATCGCTTAGAGTGGGTTCACACAGAGTGTGGGGTCACAGAGAATCTTTTGTTGCTCATTTTCGGCAACTTCTCTTTTGGTGTTGCCCTTCGCGTTCGTCTATTCCTTATCTTTTCTGACTCAAATATGAAAAGTGTCAAAATGCAAGAGCGTAAGCCAAGTCATTTTCGAGTTAATAAACGCTTTTTGGACTGAATCTGACTACACAATATCTGGGAGATATGGAACGTAACTATTTTGCATGATAAAAACATATATATATATTTTTATCATGTACCTTACTATATTTTTATCATGCTATTTTGTACACAATTGTTTTTGTTAGCTGTGAACTGCCAACTTGAATTACTCAGATGAACGAGAGCACAAAGCGTGTTGCCCGAACACGTCGCCCTCTCTCCCACAAACTTCGAGCTGCCGCAACAAAAGTTTCTTTGTCTGAACCCAGACTTAAGGTTCAAAAACTTTGTCTATAGAAGGTTATAGTTTTATGCACACATATATCCATGTGCCGATAACGCATGAAATATGCACAATTTGCATGAAGTCCAAGAATTTAACTTATTAAATTGTACGATTTATGAAAATACACATACCAGCAAACATACGCGGAATAATACACTGGTATGTAGAAACACAGATTCATTCTAGTTGCGAACGTATTAGTGTTAATCAAAATTCGAAGTAAAGAGCAACAATCGTCCAGTAAACGCCGGAAATAAAATGTTTAGCGAATTTTTAAATAAAATCCTTACAAGGTAAGCAGAACAAATAACAATTGTTAAATGTCCATATCTAAATCCACCACACTTGTCCACACGTTTATCAGATCGGCAACAGATGTAGCCATGTCCGCTTATATGCACAATATTTATGTACATATATACATACATATACATGTATTTATATATGCGATGAACTTCGATGCCATTCACTTTCCTATCGTTCTCCACTAATTTGTATTGCGACACATTTGTTATTAATAAAAACCAATAAAAGGACATGCGAATTTCAATTCACAGTATTTTTGTTTTTACGCGCGCACTAGGACGCTGCCGCAAACTGTAGAGGCTATACACATTACGCTAGCGTCATTCCAATTGGTTGGAAAATAATGCACAAAGAAGATAAGCATTTTCTTTTGGTATGTCTGTATATCTGGTGGCACACTAAAAACTCTATATTTTAAGCAAACACATTCACTGAAGCCTTTAGCATATACTTTAATAACTTTTCGTTTTTATTTTACAATTTCACTGGCACGATAACTCGTTCACCTCCACCCATTAACCAAATACTCGCAGACATTTTGTTTCATACTAAATGGAAACGGCACGCATTGGGGCTAGAAATGTTCGATATTTAAGAAAGTATCGATATCATGAATCCATTTAATTCATTGCATGTAAAATCGTAACGGCGACATAACGGGCTGAACAATATCGATATCGGAAAAATCCATGTTGAAAATCCTACTCACAATTGAATAGAATATTAGACCATCTTATCAACTTAACTACCCTGCAAAAATCGTTGGACCATGTAGTCTATTTGTGGTAAATTGGAGTACTTACAAAAGTGTTCCTCTGCCATGCTGTAGCGGACCAACTCGTGTCTCTGCGCCAGCTTATTGTTTGTTATCCGATAACTGCTCGTGTTTTAACGAAATGTGATTGAATTTGAGCATTTGAAAGCACATTTGCATGTCTGGCTGTAGCTGAACGTGTAGAGATGCTCGCTGTTAGTTCTTAGCTCCCAGCATGTTCGGGTTCGAATGCCGTCAAAGCAACATGTAATTTTTAATTTTTGTCTTGGTTTTTATTAATTTCGAAAAAGCATTTGAGAAGTGAAGAACAAAAGCGTGTAGAAACGAAAAAATATAACAACAATGCCATTGTTAATATGTTGGAGTAGTTTTGTGCTACTCTGATGTAATGCAGGGATGGAGTATATGGTCCTGCCCTAGGCCATCGCAATGTTAATTGGACGATATTTTTTATATGAATTGTGGTTAATTTTGGAGTACTCTTTGGTCCTTAGGGAGTACTCTTTACACGCATGCATGGAGTATTCGCGATTTTTGCAGGGTAATTGTGTTATTTCCATCTTGTATATTTGCTGAGGATTAAAACGGCATGCCGGTCGACTCAAGTGGTTTGTCAAACTTAAGAGCTAAATAAATCACACAAGCTGTTGATTAAACCTACTTTAGTATTTTTCCATAAACTTCTTTGTAGATGAAAAATAAATTTCAACTTAAATATCGATATTGCGGGTAAAATATCGATGTCTTCGATATAGCGACCTTGAAATATCGATTCAAAAAATCGATTATCGTGCGATGAAATATCGATAATCAGAAAAATCGATACAATATCGAACATTTCCAATTTCGGGCGATGTGTCCTCCCTAAGGCGAATTTATACAAGGTGGTGTTCAGTGTTGCCGCGCCGTCTCAAGAAATGTATCACCGACCAAACGAAAAATGTACCCAAATGTATCCAATTTTTCTTTTTTAAATATCCATCTCATAATTTGTAACCCATCCTAAGGACTTGGAATACATGTATGTATATATTTTTATTTTCCATAAAATCAAAGATTTATAATTTCAGTTCAATTTTTTGTGCATAAGTATTTTCAAAGTATAACAAATAGTAGTTAATATGTTACATTTGTACCTGTACACTCTAAAAAGTGCATGTATGTAAAAGTAAAAAGGCAGTGTTTAGTTTTATTGCACGGTGGAAACTTTGCGTACATTAAAAAGGAAACGGAAAGAGGTTACCTCTCTTAATATACGCAAATTTGAACAAAAACTTTTTAGAGTATACATATGTAAAATCTTTTCAGTACCATTCATACAAATTTCCTTAAATAAATCAAATTTAGTTTTTCAACAGCGTATTTTAAACGACTTTGGGCTGAGTAGGCACACTCTATAAGTCACTCATTATACCTGTGCTGGTGTATGGCGCGGAGGCATGGACAATGAAAGCATCTGA